TAAAATGTATAAATAAATCATGTACATACATCTACATAACAGATTATACAGACATGCACTATTGCAAAAACAAATGTCATTTACAGTAACTGTTAAGTACATATACATAATGGATAAACACCTTCTATGAGGTATTTATAAAATTTGAAAACTTCTGTTTATCATTTATCTGTTTTAAACATATTCATGGATTCATAGAGGCATAGTTATGACAAGTGGTTAATTAGGCTCACTGCACTTGTGGTACCTTAGATTGACTTTTAATTGCGGGTACTAAATTTTGCGATTTTAGCACGTGGAGATTTTGCTGGTATTAAAAATTGCGATTAAGTAATTATTACTAATAGTTATATGGCATCATGATGTCATTATTAAGAATTGTGCGTATTAATAATTGCGTATTAATAATTGCAATTTTAACCCAAATGCAAAATTCGCAATTAATAGTACCCGTATTTAAAAGTAAACTTAAGGTATTCTGTTGAATGGCTTCCATGTAGCAGTCTCAATAGCATTTGTCATATGATTAATATCAAACAGAATTATTAATTCATGAGTAGTTTAAATGTATGTCCTACTGCTATGAAAGTAAACTGACCAGTAATTTCAGATACGAATGATAAGCACATTCTAAAGTGATAATCATCAAAGTGATCCTTAACTATTTCCTCTGTCTTCTTCTCATGCTTAGCTATCCACCATGCAGCTAGAAATTCCTGTATACTCAAGTGAAGGAACTGATACTTCTCCTCATCATATTCTCTAAAACATGTCATCAATCCAAGATAGTCTTCCTTGACTGCCTCACTCAGTGACTCTATTTGATGTGAAAAGAATGTCACTGTTGTATTAGCCAGGTTAGTATAAGCTAATTGACACATCTCTTGTAAAGGTTTAGCTAATTGTGATGGTAATGAAGAAAGAATTTTTAAAGTATGTGGGTTAATGTCATGTCTTTCAACATGTCTTCTGATAGTTTGTAGGATAAAGTTCTCATATAGTTGAGCAAGTGTTGTTGGTAAGTGTCCTCCTTCCTTACAATAAACTAAGATGACTATGGAACAGACTAGTGGTACATAACACAATGATTGGACATCATTTCGCACTTTAAGATCATTAATGAGTTTCACTGCTAGTTTTGAGTCCTTACTGCTTTGAGTAGTTGTGAAAGGTTTGTAATTCTTATCATCTTCTCTTTTCTTATCAACAAGTTCTTGTGCTAGTTTTGTATCTTTTTGAAGTGTTTGTATAATTACTGTTGATATTTCTTCCTTAGAAAACCCAAAGACCTGAACATGTCTACTGAGAGTATCCATTTTTAAAAGTGAAGAGGAGGCATAGCTACGGGAAGTAACAATTACTGAACAATTGTTTAACTGCCTTCTATAAATGATACTAGCAGCTAATGAAGACTGTCTAAGTTGTTCACTTAGTTCATCCCAACCATCAAAGATTATCAGTAATCCTTTTCCAAGCCTCTTCTCAAACCATTCAGCTACCATGGGAACTTCATAACACTGATACACAAACAGGTCAGCTAGTGTAGTAGCTGTAGCTATCTTGCTATTCCTTAAAGGACAGTAAAGTACCAAGTCATACTGTTGGTGTACAAGTGGTCCATTAGACCACATATTTAACAGTTTACGACAGAGTGTGGTCTTCCCAATACCAGGAGGACCGTCTATTACTACTCTGAGAGACAGAGAACTATCTGTGGGTTGGAGGACATCTTCAACACTTATCTCTTTGTTTCCAGTTAGTTTAACTATTTCATCAACTTGTCCTCTTAGCATATGCCAAGCTGATTCTGCTTGTGTGCTGGAGTCTTGTTTTTCTACTAGTGCTAG